TAGTTAGAAACTGTATAAAACCCGCAAGTGGATCGCAATAAAGCCGGGTCTGTAATGTAATGGAAATAGTATAGGCAGCACTATACAGTGTGAGTCACGTTAAAGTGTACATATGAAAATAGATGAAACTAGACCTATTTTTATCGACAAAAAAGAGGTCAAAAAATTTTTGAGATTTTTTTTTAAATTTTTTATAGAATTTTTTTTCTTCCAATTACTTATTGTAAAGAAAACGTAATAACTTTTAAACTAAGCGGTATATCCGGATAAAATAAAAACAGTAATAATGCTAAATAACAGGTGATACTAAAAAAATACATAAAATACACAAAAAATGCCAACAAATAATAAAAAATTATACTTTTTGAAAAAAATCTGCTTTTAAATTCATGTTTTTTTGGTGATTTGATAAATTTATCCAAAAAATGCCCCTATAACAGGTGATTTTTATTACTTTGTATTACTCTCTATCGTATTATCTTTGTAAAACCAAAAATCGCATGTCTCTATCCCTATCACAACATTTGCTATGATCGTTTGAACAAAGGCCTGCCACAACATTATTCTCCGCTACAGGTAGAGACAATTTTAATTTTAACTAAAATGCTTATTTTACTTCGAAATCTTTTGTTTTTATTTGAAATCTAACTTGTCTTTATCAAAATTACAAATCTAGATCCATTTTCAGTTTCGTTGTTAACGAAGCGTTGAATGGCGCGCCCGGAGAGGCTTAGTTCAAACGATCATTGCAAACGTTGTGATAGAGATAGAGACATGCGATTTTTGGTTTTACGAAGGTAATACGATAGAAAATAATACAAAGTAATAAAAACCACCGGTTATAGGGGCATTTTTTGAAGAAATTTTACAAATAACCAAAAAAACACGAATTTAAAAGCAGATTTTTTTCAAAAAGTATCTTTTTTAATTATTTGTTGGCCTTTTTTGTGTATTTTACGTATTTTTTTAGTATCGCCTGTTATTTAGCATTATTACTGTTTTTATTTTATCAGGATATACCGCTTAGTTTAAAAGTTATTACGTTTTCTTTACAATAAGTAATTGGAAGAAAAAAAATTCTATAAAAAATTTAAAAAATTTCTCAAAAATTTTTTGACCTCTTTTTTGTCGATAAAAATAGGTCTAGTTTCATCTATTTTCATATGTACACTTTAACGTGACTCACACTGTATATGTCATGCTCGTAGTGACGTCCACACGTAGAATTCGTGTTATATTACACGACACGTAACCTTACATTACACATTACACCCGTCTAGACTCGGCTTAAGGTAAATATGAGAATAATCTAATGAAAATGGAAAACTTTTCAGTCATGTTATCTGTCACTAACTACCTTAGATAATTGTACTGAAACTGTTCTGCAATTAGGTACTTAAGCACATGAATGTTTGTGTTATCGAACTCATGTTTCATAACCCTCATCATCATCATCATCTCAGCCATAGGACGTCCACTGCTGAACATAGGCCTCCCTCAACGCTTTCCATGTTACCCGGTTGGTAGCGGCCTGCGTCCAGCGCTTTCCTGCTACCTTTATGATGTCGTCGGTCCACCTTGTGGGTGGAGTCCTCACCTACTGTAAAATTATTACTTAGTGGGAATCATAACAACGCTTTAGCTCACATATTGCACCAAACTAAATGCAGATATCGGATGTCCTACAACTTGTTAGTTTTATCATTATGGCGACTTAGTGGACATCTTATTGACAGTTATGTGGCATTTTGAACAGGTTTTTCATATTTTATTTCATATAACTAGCCACTGCATTTAATGGCAATAAAGAGCGCGAAATTATTATGATTTTAATTTATTAACTCACACCACACGTGGTCACGCACGTGAGTTATTTATATTGTTATTTGCTTTAGGTGTTGGCATTAATTCTTTAGGTGTTTTTCAACGAGTTTAAAATACAGTTATGTGTTTTGAGGCTTATTTGTTATGTTAGAATTTGAAAAGTTTATTGCCTCAATATTTGTGTAGCCGCCGGCGCTTCTTCTTGTTATTGATATGAAATTGTTCATCATTACATTACACAGATACTATAATGAATTCCTTTTGAGCCTGTTTCAGGATTTTATCTTTCTCTAATCTTCTCCCTTGCAGTTCTTTGCGCGACTCTACCAACATTCGGCTTCTGTTGATTGTCCTTTTTGTGGCCATCGTTCACTCAAAATGATAGTTTCTATTGATCACAATATATTTTTGGCATCCTTTGATATCCATTAACATTTTGGACTTTAACGACATCTCTTTAAGATCTTTTTTAACTTTTGAACATGGTCTAAGATTCCAGATGTAAGTCTCACCATGCCAGTGAGAGGCAGTATAGCTTAAAATTGAATTTGCATATAGAATTGCGATTTTCACGTGCAAGTAAGGTTAGTGTATTATCCGAGCCAGTGGAGCGACGATTTCCTATTTATGCATTGCTATTGTGCTTTATTTGTATCAAGGTAGCGACCGTAAAGAAACATGTGTAGGTTTTCTTCGGTAATGTGGAGAAAGAAATAAAATAACGGACTGTATAATCAACTAAGTGAAATGTGAGATGATTTAATTAAATTAACAGTTGCTGTTCATTCTGGATTTGTTGATAGGAGTTATATAACTCGCTCGTGTTCGCAGGCGAACAGAACTTTTGCAGGCGATTGCTGCCCCCGCGCATATGCGTCCCGTTATTTATTTAAAAATGAAAAATACTAAATACTAAGGACAGCAATGTAATAACTACACAATTTGCCATGTACCTAATCTATGGTTTCCATATACGAGTACATTACCACAAAATATAATATTACGTTGGAACAGCAAGTATATTAACGGAATCAAGAAATCGCGCCACCCATTGCATTTACCGTTCGACAGACGCGCAATGTAATCCATAATTAAATACACCACAAAAATAGTCACAGCTAAAAATAATAACGTGCACAGAACTTCCTGCATTGCACGAGCGGTGACAGCTATTTACATACACCAGAACACTGGAGGCACACGTTTTCTATTTTTCAATCGCAACGTTCCGCCTTTCGATACTTTCCTATACTAATACATGTAGTTTTGCCATTTTATAGAGACCCCCCTCGTCGACCTTGCCTAGCAGTTAGCTTGCACTAATAGAAGGTAAATGTATGCAAAGCTAAAGGTCTACGTTGAGTGGTCCGTCCGAAGCGGAAGGCGCCCGAGTCGGACAATGCCCGCGATCATGGCGTATTCCCACTTCATTACGTATTTACTATAGAACTCCCGCCAGTCTAAACTTAGTACTTTATTATGAAGATTGAGTTTATATTAAACGTTAATAGTTAATGTGTTATCAGAATTACAATGTCGGACGCTGGCACTCGAGACGCGCGTTATGATAATGTAAGGATCAACTTCTTAATTACTAACTCATGCCATAGTTTGTCAATCTTATGAAGTGGTACAATAGATAGGTGCTCGTAAATTGTAAGTAGGTACATATTTTCATTATGTAATCAGCAACTGAAATGTTTTGTATTTTTATGTATGAACGTTCGACCTCAATCAGGCCTGATGACGATGATGAGTGATGATGAGGTAGGTCTAAAGATACCCAGTCAGTATCTAGTTACTCGCATTTTAAAGTCATTCACAGAATTCTATTCCCCTACATACGCTATACTTTGTACGTGCAATTTTCGTATTAAATGTATGTGAGTGTTAAAATGTAATTATGTGACTGTTGATCAGATAATTAAATTTAGAATGACGGAGACATTGTTTACAGGAAGCACCACATTCGTCGACATTCGTTGGTCAACAGGCTGCTGGCCTTCCTGTGGCAGCGGTGACACTTATTATCTTCTGTCTCCATCAGTTGTGTCTGATCTGTCACTGAAGAAAGTGTGTTTGAGGATAACCTTTCAAAGTTTGACAACCTGTGGTTTCCGATGATTGTAATCAAAGTCTATTTTATTAAGATTTTAAAGGATGTACAAACCACCGCCCTATTACTATTACATACCTACTTTGTCACAATCTAGTCTGGTATATCAGATTCAGACAAGACATCAATGACCAACCAACAGTGCAACAGTTTATTTTTATCCGTGAACTCTACCATGATTCATCTGTCTATATTAAATAACAATTTCCTACGTTTGCACTTTGTTCCGCAATATTGTATTTGCCCAATATGGTACTCTAATTGAGCCCGTGCGAAACACAAACAGTTTGCATGTAATACTCGACAAATCAGATGTGCTACTGACCTTTATATCACCCATTCTATTCCCGCCCGAGGCAATGTGACATCACTCAATATAAACGAACACAATCAAAATGTGGTTTATGCAAATTTTCACTTGCAGACAATGTCAGTTCATTGTTTTACTTTAAATAAAATCCATAAACTACGCGGTTGATTACATTCGATGTGCGCGTGGGCATACCAAAACATAATTAAGACGGTAAATTAAATGATTTCACTTTCGGTCATTGCCGTAAACATCGGAAATTGTACGATTATTTATCAACGTGGAAAAAGTATAAACCGTCAGTTGCCCAATGCTTGGATCAACATGATCACTTCTATCGAGTGTCACTAAAATACCCGTAACTATTAAAAACAACATTATTAAAATCGTATTTTACAGGCGCCGTACGTGATTTGTGGTTGTTTTTGCTGTCTGTAACTCCGTGTTATATTGAACTCAAACTCCTCGCTTGACGATTAAGATATCCAAAAAATGTTACTGTTTCTTATTTAAGATTTGGATGTTATAAAAATACGATCAAGAGGCAACGGCGCAGTTAACAGCTCTCTCTCATATTAAAATTGTATAAAAAATAGTTAAAGGCTAAATTGTTACCTTTTTATACTGCAATTTTCCTCAGAGGGCACTATTATTAACCCTCAAACGTTTGCATCACTTTACATGCTGTAATTATCACTGCACTGCACCTGTCACCGGTTCTCTTCACTTCGTTTCAACAAAACCAACATCATGTCTACTTTATCTGACGTTCACCAGCTACAGACATCCCTGGAGGCATCCCTGCATAAGCGCATGAGTGAGTTTGAGGCACAGCTGAAGCAATCATCATCAGAGCCGACTTCCCTCGGACGTCTATATACAGAGTTCAGTGCGTTCAAGGAGAGTGTTGTCGGAATCGTTCAACTGCTACGCACACAAATTGAAGAGCTTTCTCGTGCCACTGATGCCCTTGAGATGCGACATCGCAGGAAGTGCCTCCTTTTTGGTGGCATCCCCGAGGACTCAAAGGAGGATGCCTCCGCGGTCATCTGTGACATACTAAGAGCCCGCTTCAACATGCCAGACATAACCAAATCTGCACTGAAAGCATGCCATCGACTGGGATCCAGCAGAGACGGCAGGCCACGTCCTATCCTGGTGCGGTTTGCTGAACATTCCACAAAATCCTCGGTATGGAAAAAGAAGACGGCCTTAAAGGGTACACCCACTGTCATCTCTGAGTTTCTAACTCGGAGTATACAAAACATATTCATGGAGACACGCAAGAGGTATGGAATTACTAATGTCTGGTCTTTGGATGGCAACATCTACGCAAAGCTGGCTGACGGGAGGCGCCGCGTTATTACATCCCTTGGCGATCTGGACATATTGTCAGCCAACTCCAAACAACCTGCCCCAGAGGTGTCTCAGCAAGAAAGTCCTGTTCCTACGCGAGCGGAGAGGTCGAGCAAGCCCCCCGGCATTTCACTGCGCCCCAAAAAAGTTAAGTCTAAGTAGGTAATTTGCGGCCGGTGTATCTACCCCCGCTCTGTATTATTGCTCTAATTTCTGATAGTCGAGCTTGACCCACTTTTGCTATAACTAAATTCGGCTAAAACTATTGTATTTTTTCACTTGAATCTACCATAAAACTGTAATATTTGTTTTTCTTTACTAATTACGTCAAGCCAAATCTGTCATTTCTGCCTGTCATTAATGTCACACTGATAGATTCGTTCAGAAACAAAATGTTTTACTTTTAATTGTTAGTGCCTTCGAGCTAATTTCTCTGTTGCGTTTTTGTGGAGACGGCTTTGTTTATGTTTTCTTTTTACTTTATTTTTGTTCTATCTTGAAGGTGCAAATGTTTGTTGTTTCTTAATGTAAACCGGAAGGTCAGTGCAGAAAACGTTAGTGACTTTTAGTTATAATATTATCTTATTATTATTATTATATTAACTAATTTATTTTAATAATTTTATTAATATCTAATTAGGTTATTTTATTTTATTTATAAACATAATGGATGATGAATCATTTTTTTCCGCGAATGAATCTTTTTCTACAAACGACGACTTATCTTTTCATGATATTTCTACCTCTCTTACCTTAAAGGACATTTTAAATGAAAACTTTTTTAAAACAAAGAAATTCTTTAATACATGCCACATAAATGCGCAGAGCATTCCCGCGCACTATACGGATCTACATGAATCTTTCTCAAGTGAACACCTTCATGCCATACTTGTATCGGAAAGCTGGTTGAAACCCTGTCTACCCTCAACATCCTATGCCCTGCCTGGTTTCGTGCTTATCAGGAATGACCGTATTGGCAAGGGAGGTGGTGGTGTTGCAGTCTATCTGCGAAGTGATATACCGTACAGGATTCTGGAGATGTCCCCTTCGCTGTACAGTGGTTCCGCGGAATTTATTTTCCTAGAGGTTAATATTAAGGGAGTCAAGGCGGCCCTAGGGGTGGTCTACTGCCCACCTGGCGTCGACTACCTCTCGAAGCTTGAGTCCGCCCTTGAGCCCATCAGCACTGAATACCCTCACCATATAATCATGGGGGATTTCAATACCAACCTTTTGGTGAGTTCCCCAGCGTCCGCTAAACTACTTGGGATGGTGTCATCTCTGAACTTTACTATCCTCCCACTTAACCCATTTAGACCTACCGTACCCTATGTGGTACGGTATCTTTTCGAAAATATTTTGAAAAACCAAACTGTTGTTATTTTGTAAAAATGATAGTGACAGTGAGCTTAAAGTGATTATTTTACAGAAAAATATTTAAAAATACGTTTTAACAAGTGGTTTCGGAAATATTTTTGAAATTCCTAGACAGAAAACAAAAAAAAAAATATTTACAATGTATTCAAGAAGGCATATTTCATATTATTTATGGTAAATTATATTATTTATCAATTTTATTTAAAAAAAAATAGAGTACAATAGATATCATGACTACAAAAAAAATATTATTGAGATTATTTTTATACTGTTTTTTCTAGTCTAAAATAGGTGTACCGTATAAGGTACAGTAGGTCTATGCATAAGCAAATCATGCGAGAAAATAAAATTTATTTTTTATTATTTTTCTTTGTTTAGGCTAATGATGCTTCACAATATTACCATAATTCTTGAAAAAATTGATAATTTCAGTAAACATAAAGCAATAATGGTATTTTTCTACTGCTGTCTTGTCAGATGACCACTAAAGATGATCAGACTGACGAAGATTCAGGCGATAAAGATAATGTCGATGTAAATAATTATTCTCAGAGTTTTCTGCGATGGATTAGCTAATTTTCCGTCATCGTATTGTTAAATGCGGTTATTGATAGCAATAACCGTAATAAGTCAGAAGAAGCCAGGCCTTCATCATCTATCCTCACTAACTTCGGAAAAGGTAGAAAAAAAGAACCAAATGTGGTTAGTGCCACAGAAAACTTCTTAAAAGGTATGCCAAGTGTGATACTAATGATTATGTGATTTTATTTTTATTTCATATCATACAAAAATAAATAAAAAACTTCTTTGAACAACTAGTATATTTTGCATGCATATAGACCTACTGTACCCTATATGGTACGGGCTCCCCACGGCCCCCTTTTTATGAATATTTTTTTTTAATATTTTTTTCCTGATTTTTATGCCTTCCTTTGTAAGTTCTTGCTGAAAAATCCATCAACATCAATCCACCACAATGTAGACTCTCCAGATACGTGGCTTGATCTTATTTTTACGTCATCTCCAGACAGCATAGTTTCCCATGGTCAGCTTGCAGCGCCCGGTTTTTCACGCCATGACCTGATTTTTGCAACATATAGGCTCCACACCACGAAGCAGAAACCAGTTACTGTTCTTATGCGAAACCTAGCAAGGGTGGATGCGGAGGCTATTAAGAGGGATGCCGCTTCGCTTGACTGGCAACCTCTGTCTGTCTGTCTGTCTGTCTGTCTGTTACGCTTTCCCGCTTAAACCTCGCAACCGATTTTGATGAAATTTGGCATAGAGATAGTTTGAGTCCCGGGAAAGAACATAGGATAGTTTTTATCCCGGTTTTTGAAACAGGGACGCGCGCGATAAAGTTTTTCTGTGACAGACAAAATTCCACGCGGGCGAAGCCGCGGGCGGAAAGCTAGTAATGCTTATAAATAATAAATATGACAGAAGAGCTTTCGTACCAGTGGGCTGTAGAGACTAGAGACCATAGCGACTAACGAGTGCATGGACTCAGGACTATATTCGCCAATTGGGATAACTGGTAAGCGCAATTTAATTCTTCTTTGGTTTCGTTCTTGATATATCAGCCATATATCTACGTCTGTAAAATATTCCATATTTGACTTCACATTAACCAGGAGGTCTTTCAAAACAAGACGTTATAAAACAAACAATTAGTGGACTATCATACGTGGGAGGAGCAGTCGGACAGTTCTTAATAAGTCGACAATTATCTACATTAAAACGACCAATACTGACGAGTGGGCAGCAAGGACTTTTGCCATGTTTGGGAGAATTGGCTCATGTACTCTATATTAATGCTTCTTTATACCTTTAGTAAGCATCAAGATTTGCTGGTAAATGTTCTAACTATAGAACTGTAAATTGTATATTTCAGGATGTAGGTAATTGTTGTGGACTGGACTGGACGAATCTAAAAATAGCCCCGTTTTGCTGTTGGGCTGTAATTGAAATTTGACTCTATGGCCGATTTATAATTTTATCTAGAGAATCGGGAATATTCGATGATATATTAATGCCTTGAGATCTGTAGCTCTTAAGCAATTCCGAAGTACCTAGAAATGAAAAATCTATTTCTGGCCCTTGATGACTCGTGGTGGTTGTTTTAGTTTTATCATAAGTCTGACAATTTCTTATACATATTTAATAATCATCAGATACAAAGGTTGGAACTTCGAAAAATTTCATAGCTACTTTATGACACATTTAAAATGCATTTAATATTATTAACAGTGAAGAGGATGCAGGGCCCCAAATAGACAATCCAAATAACACACATTGCGGTCGATCCCGGATGGGTGCTCGCTATTCGTAGGTACATCAACCACGGCTGTGCCTCATCCGGGTCAAATCGGTGAACTATGACTGTTTAATACGTGACTGAATTAAAAAAAGTAACCAGGTAAATCCAAGTTCGCACGCAAAGGAGTAACAATATTATTATCATCATCATAGTTGTAATAAGTAAGCCTATTTACCTACTGTTAGGCAACATTAGCTCATGCTCAATACTCATTTATTATGTCAATTTTCAAACACGTCTGAAACGATGCCTTAATACTTTTTTGCGCCAGTAAGGAACATTTTAGTTCCCTTTCATCATCAACCATCCAATTTCATTATAATGCTGGCTGAAACAACTACTTGTTTAGGAGTATGCCTAGCCTAACACCTAGCATCTTGTTCATCGGCCATTAATAAGTATACCTTTTCTGCAACTCTCTATTTTCCTTTTGCAGGTTGCAGTGACGACGAGGCAGTGTCGGCACCTAAAGAAAAGACTGCAGCATCCTGCAGGTCAGTTACTTCATTTTTATTTCTACCTGCCTGAAATACTCGTAAATCTATAAAAGGCAATGCAAATCACGAGAATACAATTAACTAAATCGGTGTGGGTTTGAATGAATATGGAATTGATTGACGAAAATTCTGATTACGTTTTTTGTTTTGTTCTCATCTATTTGGTAGATGTATTAGTGTCATTCTGTCTATGTGTTTCCATTTAGAAGCTTTTTTGTGCTATTTCTGATTTAATAACAACTGGAGAACAAACGCTACCTACACCGAGCATTAAGGATAGAAACTATACGCCTACTCAGGCAATGTGGAGAAAAACCTGGGGTTGCCATATAAAGTAATAAGACAATGTAACTCATTATGTTCGGATTTGCACCCACGCACTAACTTACGGCCGGTGTCCATGATTTGTGCTTGACGTTTTGTGAGGACCGCTGGCCGATTGGAAGTGAATCAGACGTGTCATTGGGACGTAAACACTGGCTGTCCAAGTGTTCAGTCGCCATAAATGGGGCATGTCGATTTACTTAATGCGTGCGCGCATGCATTAACCGAAGAACAGTGCTAAAGGTATTGTAAAGTGATTATTTAATGTTAACATTTAGTTCTCCTAACGTTCGTAGATGCAGGGAAGATATTTTGTATTATAAACAAGCGATACGACACGTGATTTTTGTGAGTTGATGATTAAAAAGTTTTTTAAACTAGTGATGGAGGGACCGTTAGGCGTACTGGCAGTACCAGTGGCACTGATTTTCATTATAGAATTTTTAAAGCACTGTACTTACGCTCCTGATAAAAACAAACATACAATATGACATAGTATGATTCGAACTTCCAGTTTTTCTTATGTCTAACATCGATTTTTTTTTAATTTCTTGAATTAGTATTTTAATTCCATCCATAAATCATAGAGATGACTTTAATTTGACTCTGATTAATTCACGACCAGTATCATTTGAGTCCCACAACTTTTATTGCTCGTAACTACAACTTTTCTAATGCGAGAAAATGGTTGATTGGGGTTATTAGGCCGTTTGTACTATGGTGCCTGACGGATGGCCGCTTGAGTGTGGTGTT